ATTTGCCCAGTTACACCATCATTAAGTGACCGAGCCTGAATTGAAACCCAAGTCACCTGATTTCCTTGCCTCAGCAATTTTTTTTTATTGAAAAATGACCCTCAAAATGATCACAGGGGAACAACCATTGTAAATGCAACAGTATTTAACAATGGCAATAAATTAACAGCAGAAAACAGAAATACAAAAGACACACGGGTAACAGAATCCAAAACGATGCAGTGACTAAGGGCATTTGGCCCTTCCACTGTCAAACCCCTCAGGGGATGCGGCCTCCCGGCGGGGAGGTCCAAGAGTCACAGCTTCACGGAATCTGAAAGCGGGCACTGAAGGTTCAAAGCAGGGTGTAGGACCTCGTGGAAGAGGAGGTTCTGGGGCTCTGGAAACCAGAGAGGTAGATACTGGTCCATGGCAGCTGGGGGTCAGCGACTAGGTGACCCACACTCAAGTCTCTTCCTGCGACTCGCGCCCCCCGGAGGCCTTAGGGCAACGCATCGCACGGAAATGTCCTTGCGTCCCGCAGACACGTTCTGGTCCTTGGAGAAGCACCCGCGCGGTGCACCCAGCACAGCCGGGGTGAGGTCCCGCCAGCGGCGGCAAAGCCTCACCCGAGCCTCGGCGCCGCCGTCTGGAGACCCGCCCGGCGAAGGGGAAACGCAGAGCCGCGCCCGCGGCCCTCCGCCTGCGGAGCCGTGGGTCCCCTCGGAGCCACCGCGGGATCAGAGGCAAGGTCCGGAGTGCGCCACCAGCCTCAGGTCCCACGCGAGCAGGCGCAGGAGGTTGAAGATGACGGTGGCTTCGTGGCACCGAGGCGAGTCCTGGACCCGGGGAAGCAGACGGAGCGGCAAGGGGAAACGCAGAGCCGCGCCCGCGGCCCTCCGCCTGCGGAGCCGTGGGTCCCCTCGGAGCCACCGCGGGATCAGAGGCAAGGTCCGGAGTGCGCCACCAGCCTCAGGTCCCACGCGAGCAGGCGCAGGAGGTTGAAGATGACGGTGGCTTCGTGGCACCGAGGCGAGTCCTGGACCCGGGGAAGCAGACGGAGATGGAGCGGGTCTGAGGCTCGACTTTCCCTCCCAGAAGCTCCTCTCCATCCGTCCCCGCCCGAGGTCGGCGGCCCGCCCGGCCCCTCCCCACACGCTCCCCGCTTTACCGCTCCCCGACCCCCGTCCCGCTTCACTCACAGGCCTCCCCCTTTGGCGACGCCTCCTGGGGGGCCGGAGGGTCTTCCTCGAGGAGCCCGGCCGCGCCAGCTGCAGCTGGATGGGGGACGGGGGGTAAATGAGGGACAGGAAGGACCGAGTCTCCCGCCGACTTCGCCCGAGACCCTCCCAGCCGCAGACCGAAGTCCGGATCTGGGGACACCGAGAGCACGCGAGTGGCGTCTCCTCGGGTTCGGGGCTCAGCGGCACAGACCGCGAATCGAGCGGCCTCGCCGTGAGGCGGGAGAGCTCAGAGCGAGCTGCGGGGCGGGTGGAGGGTTTGGGTGCGGGCGTCACCCACGCAGACGGCCACGTCGCGTCGCACCGCCGCCAGCAGTTCCAGGGTCGAGATGACGCCGGGGTACAGCTCGGGGCTCGGCAAGCTGCTCAGCACCTCCTGGGCGTCCGCCAGGCCCCGCGCCACCAGGCGGAGCCGCGCGCAGGTCTGCGGGTGACGCGCGGAGTTAGAGGGGGCCGCATCCCCGGCCCGCGCATCCCCCCGCCGGCCCGCGGGCCTCACCGAGGGGCTCGGAGGATCCCTCCTTGGGCGGAAGGAGCAGTTGCGCGGCCTCCAGTTGAGCGTCTCGTCCTCCTGGGGGACAAGGGCAGGGGTGAGATCGGCCTCCTCGCCAGGGCCTCTGAAGCGCTGGCACGTCGGGGATCCCTGCACGTGGACCGGGACTGGCCGGTGTGGTTGTGCGCACTGTGCGCTGAACCACCGAGCTCTTCCAAGAGGTGGATCAGGGCTCCAATGCACCGCTTGCCCGGTGCTGAGCCCCGACGTGAGCCGAGTCCGCCTAGAGGGGGCGCCCTTTTGTCACTAACGCAAAGGTCGCGTCTGCCTAGGGAGCAGTTGGCCGGGAAGATCTCGCGGTCAGAATTCTGCATCTCGAGATCCAAGATGCGCCTGCTGGACGCTAGGAAGCCAGGGCCCCTCCAGACAGGGACCGGCGTCTCCTACCGCGGCGCGCCCAGGATGCCGGGGTCTGGGCAGCACTCACGTAGCGGTCCCTCAGCGCCTTGACGGCCTCCAGCGCCCTGGGGTCCAGCGAACGGTAGTGCGAGAGGAGGCAGCGCCCGGGCTTAGCCTCGCCGTGGTCCGCCGCCACCGTCGCCAAGACCCACAGCCCCACGGTCACCGCGACTGCGCCCCTCGGCCCCATCGCTGCCCCTGCGAGGAGACCGAGGAGAAGACTCCTGAGTCCAGCACCTGCCTCTGGTGAGAGTCGCAGAGAGAGTGATGCTTAGAGACCTGGCGCTCCGCACCCGCTGGGGAGAGACGCGGTGGGCCGCGGGACTCGTCCTACACTCAGCCTTTCTCTCCTCACGCCTCACCTGCAATGTGCTCTCGGTGCCTTGTTCTGGAGCGGGCCCTGCTTTCCACTGTCCCCTGGGAAGTGTCCAGAATGATGTCCACCTTCGACAGCAGTGCCTGTGCCCTCCATGGTGGCTTTTATGTGTCCAGCTGCGAAATGATGAGCTGCGGGGCTTCCCCATGCAGTGCCGAACGTCAGCGCTGGCCACCGGCCACGGGCCGGGAGTTAGGACTTTACCCGCCTGCGAGGCGGTGCCAACAATGGCTATGCCCCAACTCCGTGTCACCAGTTCCCCTCTCTGTCCCTCTTCGTGTCCTCTCTTTCGTCATCCTTGGTGTCCTTTTCTGTTCTGATATAATAAGGAGCCCTTATGTAGTGCTTTCTGTGTACTAGGCCCAGTTCTAAGTAATCCATCCATATATATCTCGTTCAATTCTCAAAAAAGGACACTACAAGGGATGTCCTACAATTGCCTCCATTTTACAAATGGGAAAACTGAGGCACCACAAAGTTAAGGAACTTTTCTGAGATTCACAGTTAGTGTCAGAGGGAGGATTTGAACCTATACACGGTGCAGCTTCAAAGCCTGTTCTCTATCCCATAATTGCCCCTAAATATCTGTTTCAATCTCCTCTTCATCTCTGTCTTCGTTTCATTCGATTTTTCCTCATTCCTTTGTATGAGCCTCTCATTTTGTCTTGTCTCTCGTTCCCCTTCTCTCTCTGCCTTTGTCTAACCCCATTTCTCTCTCATTCTTTTTTTCCAGCAAATATCCAAGACAAGGTCTCACTGTCTGTGTCAGCCAATCTCCTGTTTTAGTTTAAAAATAAAATATACTACTTCTTTTTCTGATAAAATTAGCAATGCAGCTTCATGGTTAAAGCTTGAAAAATGCAGAAATGTGTAAAGGAGAAAAATAAACCCCACCATCTACTTCTCTCCCTTCACCCCACGTCTGGAACAATTTTTCCAACACTTAGAAATTTTACATCTATTTATTGGGGCCTATGTTTTCTGATTACCAAAGTAACACATTCGTTGTCAGTACAAAAACTAACAACTGGGAGATTTAAAGTAAGTCTTTAATCCCACTTCCTGAGAATATTTTCTTTAACAACTGGTAGCTAGCTGTTCTTCCTCTTTTTTTTTTCCTTTTGGCAGCCTACTTTTTATGTCCTACCATTATCTCTCATTTGCATTTCCCCGACATCTTTAATTATACTGCATCAGTTAGGGCCCCAACAGGAAACAGATGGCCCGATCAATTTAGGATAATTTGAAGTAGGTTTAATACTAGGAGTATTTACAAAGAGATGGGATAGTGAAGGGGAAGGACGAGAGGTAGTGCCAGGCCTTGGGGCCTTCCTGGGGAATGATCTGCCATCCTTAGGCCAGAAGGAAAGAGAGAAGGGAGGAAGTGGTTACCTGACCCGGGAAGGAGAGAGTCACCTGCACAGGTCAAGGAAACAGACAAATTGTGGTGGCCCTGAAAGGAGGAAGCCTGAGGAATAAGTACTTTGACGCCTCAGAGAATAAAGAGTCTCCTTCCCCTCTCCCTGGCCCTGCTGCTAGGCTCCAGTGGAGGCCCAGGGCCAGCCTCCTGGGGTCCAGAGCAAGGTGGAGAAATGGCAAGAGTGGATCTGGACAGGCAATGGAAGGCATCCCACATATAATACTATTTAGCCTTCCATTCTAACAGGATCGTTTAATAACCGATCCCCTCTTGGTGGGCATTGATGTTATTTCCCATGTTTTATTAAGGCTATGGTTATCTAGGGCTGGGGAGAGGGACGGAACAAGTTTTTCATTCTCTTAACACCGAAATTTTAAAATCAAATGAAATCCAACTCATCGATTTTATTTTATTTTTCATGGATCATGCGTTCGGTGCATCTAAAAAGTCATCACCAAACCCAAGGTCCCATAAATTTTCTCCTATGCTATATCCCAGAAATTTTATAGTTTTATATTTTATATTTAGGTCCATTTGAGTTAATTTTTTGTGAAATATGTAAGGTCTGTGTCTAGTTTCATGATTTTTGCAAGTGAGTGTCCAGTTGTTTTAATACTATTTGTTGAAAAGACTATTCATTGAATTGCCTTTTGCTTCTTTCTCAAAGATCCGTTGACTATAATTGCGTGGGTCCGTTCCTGGACTCTGCATTCTCTTCCATTGATTTGTCTGCCGTTTCAACGATACCACACTGTCTGGATTACTGTAGCTATGTTGTAAGTCTTGAAGTCAGGTAATGTCAGTCTCAAACTTTATTCTCTAATATGATGTTAGCTATTCCGGGTCTTTTGAATATCTATATAAGCTTTCAGTTTGTCAATATCCACAAAATAACTTGTTAGGGTTTTGATCAGATTGCATTGAATCTATAGATTAAGTTGGGAAGAACTGATATCTTGACAATATCACATCTTCCTTCCCATGTACATGGAATATCTCCATTTTTAGATCTTTGATTGCTTTCACAGAGGCTTGTAGTTTTCCTCATATAGAACTTGTTTATATTTTGTTAGCTTTGTACCTAAGCATTTCATTTTGAGGGGTGCTTTTTAATTTCAAATTCAAATTGTTCATTGCTTAACATTATATAAGAAAGCAATTGACTTTTATATATTAACCTTATATCCTGCAACCTTGCTAGAATTGCTTACAGGTTCAGAAATGTGCTTCTAAATACATAATATTAAATACACAGAACTATAAAGAAAACTGATTATATTGAAACCCACTTACCATAAAAACAACATTGTGGTAAGTAATATACATGCCTCTGCATTAATGCATTAAGTAACGAGATACAGCCTAGGTTTAATAACTACTATACTTTTGAGGTAGTAATGAGAATAAATATTTCAAGATATGTACCACGCCTGTAATGTGCTACGAAAATATCTGTGGCTTCCTTTAGTGACAAAGTCACAGGTTCTGATAATACTATTGCAGTTTGTTACTTACATTCATAATGGAAGAAATGAAGAATTTCAATTAGAGGTAATGAAGATAAAGATGCATCTTTTTCCCATGCAGGTTCACCCTCCCCTGAATCCTGTTGTGGAGATGATCCATGAACCCCAAGCTAAGCTGGATTTACAGTAGTTATAGAGAATGGAGTAGATTTGTACGTATGGACATGAAAAATCTTCAAGACATTACTGAGTGAAAAAAATAAATTGCCAAACAATATACTTGGTGTGACACCACTTGTGTTTAGAAGTACTCACACATACAAAAGCAATTTAATGGAGAACAATCACCTTTTCAACAAATGGTGCTGGAGCAATTGGACATCCATTGACCAAAAAATGAACCTTGACTTAAACTTAACACTTTAAACAAAAGTTACCTCAAAATGGATCGTGGACTTAAAAGTAAAATATCAAGCTATAAAACTTTTAGAAAAGAATATGAGAACATTTTTGGGATCAAGGGTTAGAAGAAGAGTTCTTAGACTTGATGCCACGGGCTCCATCCATCAGAGGAAAAAATGATAAACTGAACTTGTTGAAAAACTTTTGTTCTGTGAAAGACCAGATTAAGAAGTGGAAAGATGAGCTAAAGAATGGGAGAAAAATATTTGCAAACCACCTACCTGACACAGGACTAGTATCTAGAAGAGATAAAGAACTCTTAAAATTCAACAGTAAAAAAATATTAAACAATTTAATTGGAAAATAGACAAAAGACATGAAGAGACATTTTACCGAAGAGGATGCACAGATGGAAAATAAGCACTCTAAAAGATGTTCAATACGATCAGTCATTAGAGAGATGCAAATTAAAATCACAATGAGAGATCATTACACACCTAGCAGGATGACTAAAATAAAAAATAGTGACAACATCGAATGCTGGTGAGGATGCAGAGAAACTGGATCACTCATACATTATTGATATGAATGCAAATGGTACAGCCACTCTGAAAAATAGTTGAGTAGTTCCTTCAAAACTAAACAGGCAACTACAGTATTACCTAGCAATTGCACTCCTGAGCATTTACTCCAGAGAAATGAAGACTTATGGTCTCACAAATTCTTGCACATAAATGTTTATAGCAGCTTTATTTGTAACAGTCAACAACTGGACACAATCCAGATGTCCTTTAACAGGTGATAGTTAAATGACTGTAGTACATCCGCACCACGGAATACCACTCAACAGTGAAAAGCAACAAAGTCGTGATACACACAACTATTTGGGTAAATCTCTAGAAAATTATGCTGAATGAAAAAAGCCCATCCCCAAATACTACCTAATGTATGATTCCGCTTATACAACATTTTGGAAATGACAGAATTATAAAAATGGAGAGCAAATTGCTTGTTGCCAGGAATTACGGACAGGAGGAAGGGAATGGGCATGGCTATTGGAAGGGCAACTTGGGGGACCTTTGTGGTAATGGAATTTTCTGTATCTTGACTATACCAATGTCAATATCCAGGCTGTGTGGGATATTGTACTATAGTTTTGCAAGATATTATCATGAGAAGGGGGATTGGGTAAAAGGTACATGGGATCTCGTATTATTCCTTACGACTGCATGTAAATCTACAACTATGTCAAAATAGAAAGCTTAATGGACACAGTCACATAGAATATTATATATTTCCTTGTGAGCTATATGAAGGGTTTCAATATTTATAAAAATGTATGCAAACATATGTCCTGCATTGATTTATAGTGGGATATCTCTAGAAAGGGCATGGAACTGAGGGGACAATCATTAGGATTATTATTTTATCAATGATATTTTAATTTCTTACTAGGATAAGGAATTCTACCTAAGTAATTAAAAATTAAAACAACAAACTCATTGGATATGGGAGAAATGCTAGTT